TAAATGACGTATGCCCAGTTTTTGGCACATGTCTTCAAATATATTACTTACAAATTGAGGACCATTATCCGATATAACTTTTAGGGGCGCCCCGTATTTTAAAATATATTTATTTAAAATAGAATCGGTAACTAATTTCGCGGAGGCTCGTTTTAAGGGAACAATTTCGTCCATTTACTAAAATGATCAACTATAACAAGGAGATAGCGACTTTTGTTTAACTGACTTTTTGGGAAAGGGCCCAATAAATCGATGCCGATTATTTCGTTTGGAAATTCGGATTTAATACTATTTAGAAACCCGGCCGGGCGGAAATTAATATAATTAATGGCTTGACATGTTGGGCAGACTGGACATACGCCCTTGTTAACTTTTGCAGTTCAGGAAAGTAGACTGCCTCGCGTACGCGTTGAGTAGTTTTTCGAATACCAGCATGAGAACTAAAGGGCTGTCATGGAGCTCTTGCAGGATATTTAATCTAAGACTAGCTGGGATAACAGGTCGAAATTCGTTGTTGGAATTCGTAGTTTTTGTATAAAATAATAACCATCTATTAGTTCGTAATGGGCCGCCCTATTTCTTATCGCCACAATATCTTGGTGGCTAAAATTTTCAGGATCCTTCAAATACTCATAAATACTTCCAAACTCAGGATCCTTACCCAGTTCGGTTATTACAGTTTCTCGGGAATTTATTGTACACGCTGTCAGCATTGCAACTTTTACGGTATTACCCTGTTCGTCTAATTTAATTCGTGACAGGGCATCTGCTACGATATTTTCCTTTCCGGGGGTATGCTCGATTACCAAATTATATTCTTGCAGCTTGAGTGCCCATCTTATTAACCTTGGGGATAAATTTTTTTTCCAGAGTACAATCTAGTTACCGCCGCATGATCAGAATATACTGTTATCGGCGCCTTTCCAAAATAGACTCGGAACTTTTGCACTGCTAACAAACTGCAAGTGCCTCTCTCTCGGTCGCGGAATAGTTTCTTTGTGTTTTGATTTAAAGTTCGGCTAAAAAATGCCACTGGCTGCTGATTTTGCGAAAGTACCGCTCCTACCGCATAATCCGAAGCATCCGCTGAAATTTCTAAATTTTTCATCCTTTTCAGGAAATTTCAACACAGGGGCTTGCGTTAATGCTTGTTTTAATTTTTCGAAAGCACTATTGGCTTCGGCCGTCCACGAGAATCTTGCCTTTTTCCTTTTTAATTTTAACAATGGCTCAGCGATAGCCGCAAAATCTTTTATAAAGGACCTATAATATGAACAAAGTCCTAGAAAAGAAGAGAGCTTCTTTGCCGTGTTTGGAGTCGGATACTTTTGTACAGCGATTATTTTTGATTCATCTGTCTCGATCCCTTTTTGCGATATTTTGTAACCTAAATATTTTAATTCAGGGGCTGCAAATTTGCATTTTTCGACATTAACTTTTAGACCGGCCTCATTTAATAAGAAAACACCTGTCTTAAATCCTGTACCTGTTGGTCTAGATTATCACTAGTAATAATGATATCGTCTAAATAGATAAATGTGGACTTTCCGAGAACAGGTCTTAACACAATGTCCATGCATCGCTGAAAATGTTGCTGGGGGCACCTGAAAGGCCAAACGGCATTCGCAAAAATGCATAAGTGCCAGACTTGGTTATAAAAAGCAGTCTTAGGCACGTCCTCAGGCCTGATCCCTATTTGAAAATAACCATTCGTTAAGTCTAAAGTTGTCATAAATTTGGTTGATTTTATGTTCCTTAAAAAATTTCTTCTATAATCGGTAACGGATATACCGGATATTTTCGTTATGGAATTTAATTTACGGTAATCAATAGCAAATCTCCACCTTTTTTGGATGCTCCAAAGGATAATCATTATTTTTCTTACATAAAACCACCGGACTAGCATAACTACTTGAGATAGGCGTTACGATCTTTTTACGTAGCATATCGGTAATATGCCATTCTATAATTTTTTCCTTATTCTTATCATACCGGTATGGTTTTTGACGAACCGGCAATGCATCTCCGGTGTCAATACTATGGTTAGTAACCTGGGTAAATCCTGGAATATCACTAAATAAGGAAGCAAATTCACTTACCACTTGTCGGATTCTATCTTGCTCGTCATTAGGCAGGTGGTCAAGATTTAACCTCGGCGGTTCAACCTTTTTTTACACGCACTGGTTTCATCGTCAGCTTAAGAGACGCTTCATTAAAATCCAGTGTAGCTTGTGCGTCTGAAAGAAAGTCTATTCCTAGTATTAAGTGTGCTTGCAAATTCTTTCTTTACTATAAAAACATCACCTTTACTTGTTCGTCCTTGATACGGATGTACAAAGGTACTTTACCTACGCACTTACATTGTTCTCCTTGTGCCGCTAATACTGTTGTATTATCCGCATTATATATGCGGTATTTGCGAAAATAACTTTCTAAAAAAGACTTCTGCCACACAGGAACACTGCGCGCCGGTATCCAGGAGTGCGGTGGCCGGGATATTATTTACCAGACTTCAATCTTCGGAAGAGTTAAATTTTTTCACCATTACTGTATTTAACTTGTAGGAAAGGGGTTTTCGTGGCCTTCGGATTTCCGCACCCTCTCGTCAGCAGAAATCCGTTTTAGTTTAAATTATTTTTTCTTTCGGTGCTTTCCTTCTTTCTCCACTGGCCTTGAGACTTTTTTTCCTGGGTTGCTATTGAACTGTCGACGTTCGCCGGCTGTTTTTTGAATGCTCGGGTTTCCTTGCCCACTGATTCGCTTTTTTCTCCATAGCCATGTGCTTGAGTTTGCTGTAGTCTTGGCGTACCAAATTGGTTTCGCTTTGATATTGGCGTCTTCTTTCGACGTCCGCCGTTCTTCTACTTTCAAACTGATTGCTAGCTCAAATAACTTTTCCAGTGTAGTCGGATTTCTCAATTCAATAAAGTCTTGCACTTGGGGTAGTAACCTCGGCAAAATCACTTGAATTATTTCAGGATCCGGACGGTTTCCATACAAGAGCTTGAAAACGTGAATTTTTCTTAAAATAAAGCTCGAGAGGTTTTCCATTCTTTGTTGATATATACTGAAAGTTCTGTTTCTAATTTCGCACGATCCCTTACAACAGGGAAGGCTTTTAGTAGGGCAGTCTTGAAATTTTCGTAAGTATAGGTGGGACTTCCTGCTTGACCCAAGAGACTTCTGCCGATACATTTGAACCAGTTAAGCGCTTGGCCCCTCAAAGCGCTGGTAGCTAAGGTAACTTTTTGAAACTCGTGCACGGGGTAGAGCATGAAGTGGTCATCCAATTTTTCCAAAAAACTGGTTACCTGTGAGTTTCCATTAAACGTGTCTTCTGGTTTCATCGAAGCGCGCATGGTCTGGGACAATGTACCCAAATCCTTCCAGGGCGGCAGCTGGCATTTCTGGATTCTGAGCCGTTTTCTGCAGGCAGCACAGGTTCTTCTTGAAACTCGGCCATGGTTATTCTTCGTCGGGCGCCACTATCAGGTTCAATGTTTCTTCTAACCTTCTTCGGAAACATACAATGACCTGACTAGGAACAGAGAGCTTACTAAAGCTATGTTCACTAATTGTAGTAAGTAGACAGGATACAGACGAAGGGTATACAAAACCCTTTATTTTTTCTTTATATACAATGACTTCCGTACTTCGGAATACAATGACCCTCCACTCGGGGTCTAACGTAAAAGGATATCAAATAAAACTAAACTCTAATTTAACTTTAGAATAAGATTGGCCTTATAATAACAGGAAGCGTATGTAGCACAGAGACTGTGAACACTACAATACGTTTAATTTATCAAGAGGATTAAACCTCTGGCCTGGAAGGCAAAGTAGCAACTGCGTAACTTCTAAGGTAAGCGGCCTGCTTCGAACTCACTGCTTCCTCTCTTCTGCTTGGCAAAAAGGCCACACTTAAATACTTGGCGTTCGCCAGACAACTTTGCATAAACTCCTTCACGCTTATAATTCTGGCCGGAAGTAGAAAATAAGAAGTGATAGTAAAGATTTAAAATAAAATAAACGTTAGTAAAACTTAAGATCCTTACAAGCCTTAGAGACTTTGTTCATAAATATATCTTTATTACTGAATGTGCATGATTATTATTCGAATTTACATACTTAAATAGTGCAAGCTAAGCAGGAATTTTTAAGCAACAGGAGCCAGTGTCTGTACTTGGGTCGGTAACCACTCACGTGACAGGCACTGACCAATCTAAAATATCCAAATGTCTACTGCATATTCACAAAAACTGCTATTAACCCCCCCCTTCATCCCATCGAATTGCTATCATAACATCCCAATAAAAGATTCGTTATCATGGGTCACTGATTATTTATCAGAACTACCATAGTTTAATGTTAATCTCCCAAGATTCACCTGCTGGGGTCTGAAATTTGGGAATTTCACTCACAAAACAGGCAATAGCCAATTAAAATTGTCACTGTAATCTTCATTAAAATCTAATGTTTAGACTAGAATTCAGTGAAGAAAGAGCAAAATTTTACATTTATTTTCAAGATTCCTACTTTATGGTACTAGAATTTTATTTTGCCTCTTGCAGAAACATGTTACACACTTGTATTTACTATATCTACCAGCGCCTTAAAGCAAAATTTCCACGATTTATGGTTAAAGCGGCATTCTGCTGCATGCCATATGTACCTACATGTTCCAAGTTCTGATTCAATGTCCTCAACCAATAACCTTGAAATACCAACACATACATTAAACAGCATTAAAAAATATATTGCTTATGGCTATCAAAATAAGGAATACTTGATTTTATAAGGACAAAATCTTAAAATACATTATACGGTAATCTGAAACTCAAATATAAAAATTACGGCAATGGGAGGGGAAAGCAAAATATTTAGTAAAACTTGACTCTAGAGTGATTTTATAGCCTAAGCTGGTCATTGGAAGGTTAAAATAATCAAAGGATGTATTTTTCATTTACTTGGAAATTAAACACATGAAGACTGTTTGTTACCTTGTTATCTTTGCTTATGGCCCACACAACATTTTTACCAACACTGACTTGAGAAAGCAAATCTTCAGGACTAGGTGGTTCAACTTTAATCCAGTGACTGCCTAAAGAAATCATAATTTTAAATATTAATAATAATAATAATAATAATAAATGGTACTTAGATGTTTTCCCATTGACCATTTTTAACAAATCAAAAATCTCATCGAACAGTGTGATTTAGCATCAAAAATGAATAAGCATCACACCAGAAACATTCAGGATTCTTCTCCTTTATATAAAGCTGATTACTCCCTGGTAAGTCATTTTAACTGTTTAATATCTAACGAAAGAAAGAGCATCTATTTTTCCAAAATTCAGCCAGAATGATTAGTGCACGTTTGAGCTCATATTTTTCTGAGCTACAAGCATCATTTGTATCAGTTAATCATGTAACTAAAAATGAGCGATCTGTTCCTTCAGACTTCCACAGGAATGACTGCTATGAAATCTGGCAAGATTTCTGTTAACTTTCATGGTCAACAGGACAATATATAGATACCCAAAAAATAAATTATTAAAACAATAAAATACATAAAAACTACAATTACACATATATTTTATAATCCCAAACGAAAAACTTGGCATAAAAGACTTTTCACACTTAAGCTCTTTTACTACAATATTTAAACAAAGTAGTAGCATTATGGTTGATAAATTATGTTTGCATAGCAAATTTACAACCATGTTTTCAAGTTTGAGCCATATAACAAAAGACTTCTGTTTTTTTAATCAGTTTTAGAGCTTCATGGAATATGAAACATAGCATCCTTATATTACATGCTTATGCTAATCTTTTTTATATTTTAATATTCTTTTACAGGAGACATGAAAAGTTATTATAAAATCTCATTGCATAATGGGAAAACTGAGTATAACATTAATAAAATTCTGATAAGGTCATGCTTACTCTATGCATTTATCAAAAACTTCCCCATTTTTTTCAAGTTGTGCAACAATATAGGAATGGGCAACAAAGTGAAATTAAAAACCACATTTTAATTTAGTATTCAAGACTTTAATTATATTTAATAATTCACAAAAGTGTAAGTTACTCTTGTGAATTTTTTAATTCACAAGATAAATAAACACTATAATAATAAATAATTCAAATTAATTAAATAAACACTATAATAATAAATAATTCAATATAAAGATAAATAATTCACAAGATAGATAAACAAAAGATAAATTTTTCTCTTTTTTTTCGAAATCACATGCAGCACATGGATAAAAAGCACTAAGTACCAGCAGTTTTGCAATCTCAGCTTGATACTGCTCGTAAAACTTTATGATTACTTAGATCATTTCATTTTTGCCCAGGATGTATCACACACTCTTCAAGCTCTTAAATTTCAGAATTTGAAAACTTTCAGATAAATTGCTCCAGTGTTTCTGAGAAGCATAATTCAGATTCTTTTTATTGTTACTTCAGTAATCATTAAAATTCTGTTGGTTCAATTATTTTTTCCTCAATAAACTATAAAAATAAAGATACTAAGAAAAGAGCAATATTTAAGCACTAAACAGTAAGATGGAAATATAAAGAAAGGTCTTGCATATTAATTTAGAAGTCAAACAACAAAAATCAGCATTATATTTTTTAATTTTCACAGGATTAGTTTTGGTGGTTTTACTGAATGTCACCATTACCACCCTTACCTTTGTTTGCCGTATTATTGTATCTTAATTAGTCTTGCATATTAATAAGAAATCTGACACCATGGCAGATAAAGATAATACTGAGAAACAACTAAAAACAAACATTGGATAATACTGAGAAACAACTAAAAACAAACATTTGTTGAGGTTCATGCACCAGTGTATAAGGTTTACTGCAACTGCCCAGTAACGCCAGTTCTTGAATAATTTACTGGGCAAACTGCCCAGTAAATTATTCAAGAAGCGCATTTCATCCCATTGTTACTAAAATTGTATAATTTTCAATGATTATTTTTCCTGTGTAGTTTCATTTGACAGTATCATACAGTATTCTTAAAGATAGTATTTTAGCTTTTCATTCTAAATACAGCAATAAATAACCACATTTTATTTTAAAGTAATATGTCCAATTAAATATAATTTTGTGTGTTTATTTATTATTATAATTTAGTTTTAAACTATTCAATATATTGTAGAAAACAGAAACATAATAAGGATTTCACACATCACTAGCACTTCTCAGTAAAGGTAGGCAGAAACATGGACCTATTTCTAGCATTGGACATTATTACACAGTACAGATAAAAATTCAAATTAGTATTAAAAACTGGTTACACTGCAGCTCAATTTTATTTCTAACTGTCATACACAAATATTTTTTGTTGAGGTTCATGCACAGGGATATAAGGTTTTAGAAACTGCAAGTAAATTATTCAAGAAGAGCATTTTATGCTATTGTTATTAAATTTGCAGAGTAATTTTTAATGATTTTTTCCCCTTTTTCTGTATAATTTCATTTGACAGTATAATACAGTATTCTTTAAAATAGTATTTTAGATTTTCATTTCAAATATAGTAACAAATAATCATATTTTATTTTACAGTAATATGTCCAATTAAATATAATTTTTTGTGTTTATTATTATTTAGTTTGAAAACTACTGAATACATAGCAATTTAAGACTGTATAATAATTTATCTTCATCAGAGGAGGATTCAATCCATATATAGGAAATTCTCCCAATAGTAATGCATGACAGAAACTGCCACATAAAAAATGATGGATAATAGAATTTCCACTATAATATTATCATTTATCAATTATTACAATCCAGAACTAATGCATAACAAAATTATGAATGAACTGTAGCAATTTTATCAAGAATCAATAAAATTCAATAATCTGGAAAAAGAGTTTACCCATTATGTTTTCTCTTGTAACACCAATGCGAACTATAGCACTACCAGACCAGGTGATGGCCCATACTAAACCTGTTGGCCCCACAGAGATTTGGTTAACATCACATTCTTCTGGTGTTTTAATGGGTACCCATCCACTGCCTTCTGGAGATATTTCTGTGACACCATAACGAAATATCACCTGCAACATTTCATCAAACACTCAGTGATTAAATTTAATTCTTATCTAAGACTTACTTAATCATACTGGCATGCACATGGCCATAAATCATATTTATTATTTGTAAATGTGTAAAAATATATGTCTAGAACATTTATAACAATATATTATATAATTAACATTTAAAAAATACATCAAATTTATCCTCATAGAAAATATTAAAAACAATATTTTATAAAAATTTTCACTTCATAAATTCAGCCTATTCCACAAATAAGTTAATTAAGTTAAAAATTCATTTCATCTTAATATTGGCAACAAACACACAGTGTACACAGTTTTGTTTCTATTTCATTTTTAATTCAAAACTGCATTGACAGAGATTTTAAAAGTATGATCTACATTTTAGAGGAATAATTAGAGAATTTGTTATTCAAGTAATTACTAAGACATTCTAAAATTTACCCACACTAAATAATAATAAAAAAAAAATAAAAATAAAAAATTTAAAATTAAAAAAAAAAAGTTTGCAAAATTTGAGCTCAAAATAATCTATTTTAATGATCAGGATAATATGACACAAACAAACTATGAAAAATGCTTCTTAATAGATGAAACACAAAAAAATTTCTTTCTGCTCAAATATTTCACTGAAACATAACATTTCCTGATATCCGACCAATTACAAAGAATCCTATCATTATTACTAACCTTATTCCATTTAATGCACTTCTAAAAATAAATTTTCCTTGTTTTTGAGATAGAAATATTATATGGAATTAGAAGATGATTTTATAACATCTAAATACTTAGGCTTTAAGCAATAACCACGTTATGGCTTAAGTGAACTACCTTTTTTTATTTATTCTGGCCTCATTAATTTGCATGCATTACAGCAATTCAGGGGTGGCTTTCTAACTAATTAAATACCTCTACCAAACACTCACCCTCAAACACGAGTTATCATCTAGTTTAAACTGAAAGCAGAAACAAAAGACAAACGAAATATAGAATTTAATACATACATTAATTATAATGTTCTCGCAAAAATTGTGAATTATCTAAAATAAGCACAAAAGAAAGAGAAATTCATTTTCATGGGTTTCCCAGTGTGTAACATAGATATGAGCCAGTTTCTCTTAGAAAGTCCTCCACATGGACATCCTTTCTTCAGGAAGATAACTGTCATGTGCTTTGTAATAATCAAATAAACCAATCCAGGAACTTGCCACTATTCCATTAAAAGAACCTTAGTGGTAGGTTCAGGTGTGACATCAGGCATGACCTATACAGTCTCCACATACATCCTGTGGCAGCCAATTTGGTAATTCCATCTGCATTTTCCATGCCAAGTACCCAGTGTGGATTGACCCACTCAAATAGACAGTAAACACAGCAGCAATATGTGGATCTCCTTGACTTACACCAGAGTTTCTTAAACTGTAGATTGTGACTCCCAAGGGGATTAAAGATTATTTTTGTTCCTTCGTTAAAAGTTACTATGGATAAAAACACAAAATTTTTAAAGCATTATTGTTATTAGATAATGCACCAGGTCATCCTACAGGACTTTCTAAATCTTTGTAAAAATATCAGAATTATTTTTGTTTCTTCAAAATTCCTTTGTGTTACAACCCATGGACGAACAGCTTATTTCAACATTTAAGGCTTTTTATTTGAGAAGGATGTTTTCGGAGGAAATCACAAAATGTTGTTTTTCCTTCTGGTGAAAATGCCCCATCTTTGGCCACAATTTGGAAAAATTACAAAATCCGAAATGCTAAGGAAAATATTGAACATGGAATGAAATAAGTAAAAACAATACAAGAAGCATGTGGAAATATGTTTTGCCCCATTGCATTAGTGATTTTTGCAGCTTTGATTTTCAAAAGGTTACAATCTCAGCAAAAGTCGTGAAACTCAGACATGATTTTGGTTCTGACTCATTAGATGCTGCTAATATCATGGACTGCATTAAAATGGAATCTCAGCCTTTTTATGACAAATCTCCCATTAGCACAGAACAGGCTTATGAAGAAAAAAGTGAAGCTGAAGAATGTGAAAAAAAAAAAAAAAAAACACTACCAATTATTCAATGCCATGAAGACAGCATATGAATTGATTGAAGAAAATGATCTGAACAAAAAAAAGAATTGAAAGAAGGCAAAAATTAAAGACAATTCTTTGTTACTTCATGGAAAGAGGAAAAAAGGAAGAAGAAAAAAAAAAAAAAAATTGGTGCAAAAAAACTGATTTCTCAGTTTAAAAAATGCTAATTTTCCCCCTTTGACTTTGTTAACAATAAAATTCTTCTATTACATATTGCACTTTTTTATTACTTTCCATTAATTTTAAATAAATATTTTTATAGGAACGAATTACTAATTTTACTACTGAAGTAATGTTTTTTACTTATCATGGATTCATTTAGTGTGGCAATTTAGAATAATGAATTAACAGTACTAAACAAGGCATTCCTGTATTTTATAATCTCAGAGAGTCTGGCACTGCTTAATGAAAAAAAAAAAAAAAAAACTCTGAAGAGTACATAGCTTTACTTTTCAGAATTTTAAAAATATTCTTATTTTACTTATGTGCATTTTTATATTCACTATTCAAATTATCTACTAAAAGTTTTTTTTAACTACATTGTGATAAAAAACTATATTAAATTTACTTTAAAAAATTAAATATCTGTTCAAAACCTGCAATTAATAAACACAATCCTGTCTATGACTAACTACATTCTATTTACTAATTAAAGGAAGATTAGCACTTACTCTACCCATTATGGTCACAGCCCACACAGCAAAATTATTTGACTCTCCTCCAGGAATTTCTGTACCATTCACAGATACATCTATAAATGGCTCTAACACAGGATCTTCATGTATGCTTGGAATCTTTTAAAGAAATTAAAAGTCTTATCAGAAAGAAGAATTTTCCATTTTAATTAAATGTATTACATAATTTTATATATATACATTTTGGATATCATTATTTTAAATAGCATAAAACTTAAATTTCTAATGCAATTTGCTAAAATAACATGCAGTACTCTTCTATTATCAGGAACAGATTCAGGAATGTGTGCATGTATGCTCATGTATATGTATGTATATATATATGTGTGTGTATATATATACATACATAAGTATGTACATATAAACATGCATACATAAATGCATACATCCATAATATGTGCATATGCACACTGCAAAAAGAGGGATGGGACAGTTTTGTATCTCCTGTTCTACTGGGCCAATTGACGAAATTCAACTTAGCAGCTCAAGCAGCTATCGTATTTTCTTATATCTTACATACAGCAGAGTGGCAAGAAAAGGCGAAGATAACAAAACTGGTTTTTTCTAAATGACCCATCTTTATTCTCACACATATCTAATTAATTTGGCAGACACTTATTCAATCATAATTAAATATGATAAATTTCTATGTACATTGGTTTTTTTAAAGAAATGATGTGGGCAGTTGAGAAGCAAAGCGGCGTAAGGATGAGCACTCAGGGAAAGGAACGGAAGAATGATGTAGTTAATTCACCAGTGGTATTTAATCTAAGTCTGATGTAACTGTAGAGACAAGCTATGATTGGTTAATTTGAGGTTGTCATAACATAGAAGGTTCTCGAATTTGGGAGAATATATGAATTTAGGGGTAGAGTACCAAATCTAGAATTGCTAATTTTGAGGTCATCAATTATATTTGAAGCAGCTATCATATTTTCTTATATCTTACATATCACTCTACATCACACATACACTCTGTTACTTGACTCAGTGAGCTCAGTTTCTTTATTCTTATAGTATTTTCTTTATTCTTTAGTCACTGTGCATTTTTTGCTTTAAAAATGATTGACTAGTTCTTATCTTCCAGTTAAAGTTTTTATGCCTTTAGTTAACCTGCATGTCATAGTTGTATAAATATATATTATAGTTGTAGTCATTCTTAAAGCAGCCATCGTATTTTGCTATATCTTACATATTTCCCTTCAAAAGAAAGGCTGGGAGAGCATGGTAAAAGAAAAGCATTAGTACATTAGTAAAGGAAGAGAAAGTTTATATGAGGAAAGAGATGAGGAAGCATCGAGGACATAGCCTGCAGATTTTCCTATGCTCCGTCATTTTTTAATTCTTCAAAAGTTAATTTTATGTTTTGTAAAAGGCTTCTCTAATGCTCTGCCTTTTTCTCTTTGAAGAGGGAAAAATGCGTCAGATAAAAAAAAAAAAAAAAAAAAAAAAAAAAAAATGAAAGAAAATTTCTAATTTTAATTGATATTACCTCTTTTATTTTTTACTTAATTTGGGGACTTCCTCTCTTTATCTTAAGTATAGCGCTATAAGTCTAAACTGCATCATTCAAATTAATCATGCGATCCTACATAACGCTTAATGCAGATACTTCTTACCCAATCACTAAATTGTAAACCAAAACTTTTTTAACTCAAAGTGAAACTTTTGACTTCCTCCCTTCTTCCTCTGAATTACTGCATCACTTTTTGCTTAAGCTTTCCTCCTGGCCAGACGCTTTGTGGCTACCTTCTTTGTTCAATGAATATCTGCTGAGCTAAAAAAAAATATAAGCCACATAAGACGCTCGTCTGTATGTGAACCAAATATTGCGAATCCAAGATTGCTTTCCTTAATAATAAAATTATCTTGCATCCAGCCATGTCTGCCTTGTCAAGTTTCTTCATTACGCATCTATTACGCCATTGCCAAGTTCCAAATCATTCATATCGTGCCATACATATATGTATTGTATGTATGTATGTATGTATGTGTGTGTATATGTATCATATATACACATACATGCACACATACATGGATTTACAGTTGAGATGTTAATTCAGTCCAAATTTTCTTCAAATTTTGTTTTGCATTGAACAAATATTATGCTAACAACTAAAAAGTAATAATAAATGCAAATAACTATATTTTTACAAATTTCACATTGAGTTCAATCATGAAATTTTCTTATTGAACGTTTTTTTTTAGCTCAGGAATAGTGTAAAGATCCAAGAGGCTCAGAGAGTGTTCAATTCTTTATTTGAATAACTGGCTTGTATTAATAGAGAAACACAACTTCTTCCTTACAAAGATACTCTTTTCGACTTATTAAACTACACATAAAAACTGCAATTATCGATAAAAACAATAAATTCAAAAGGAAATAACAAAAATAAAAATATTATTTCATGGCAACATTAACCACACACTTTATAATACTGATATTTTTTCAGAGCTTCTCATTCTCTCTTCCTTCATAACCTTCATAAGTACAAAAACTAAATGGTAACAATATGCACTAAGTGATGTTTTTCCCCTTCACCACCAATCATGACATATAAGTTTTTCATTATTCTTTTCATTCAGTTTCCAAATTTTGAATTAAAATGCCTCTCTTTAAAAGATGAAGTATTTAAAGAAGAACACAAAAACTCAGGAGTCCAAAATTTAGCAATTAACACAAGGTGGGGTAATAGCCCACATAGAATATGTTCTATGCACTACTGTAGAGTCATTAGGTTAATTGGAAGCAGAAAAGATGAAAAATATGCAACCCCCTTTGCTGGGAATCGAACCACGGACCTCTGGAATACCAGCCCAGCATGCTACCGTTACACCACGAAGGCACGCTAAGGAAGTGGGAGAAATACCTTATACTATTACCATTGGCTGTCCAACCAATCTGATAGCATCTCTGATTGCCATACTGAAGGGCACAGATTCATATCCAGAAGAAGGCATGGGTGTCTGTAAATGTATAGTGTCTGTGTGACATGAGGGCATTCTAAATATGTGGCTAGCCGAAAGTCCTCTCGAAATGTGGTGGAAGGAGAAGACGAGAGGGACACCCTCGTACCCATTTCCCCCTGGATGTTCTCAATCAAAATTGGGGGCAGAGTTGAGCTAAATCGCACTGTCACCTGTTAAGTACTTAAGGCTTTGCCAACAACAGGCATAAACTTGTACTCCTTGCCAGAAAATTTTGTGGGCTTGGACTGATTAGGTCAAGACAAGTGAGCATTAACAACAACAACAACTATTACTATAAATTAGCAATGCTCAGAACATGAAAAAGGATCCATATATATTAAATTCAAATGATGCAAGTGCCCCCTTCTCCATGACGATGGAAGTAAATGCAACTTTTACAAAACTGCACATGTAAAAACACAAGCATTTACTGAGTTGAATACTCAAGTTTAACACAAATACTTTCAAAGTTTAATAAATAAACTAGAAATGCTTACCAATATTATGACAATAAAGCCCTACATAGTATAATAAACTGGTTTATTATTTTGACTGACATGACTTTAAGAAATTGATTTATTGCTTTGGCTTAAATACCTTTTATATATTTTATGAATATAAGATTTCATGTATTTATATATAAAAAAAGAGAGAACTGTATATTTTGTGAATAGCTCATATCATCATTTCAACATTAATACAGAATCCTTAGAATTTATGTTAACTTCTTTTTTTATTAAATTTTCTTTAATTGTTAATACATAAGATTAAAAAATAATAATCTTTAATAAGATCCTGTATAAAAGAAAAGTAAATACTTATCTGACTTCCCATCATACTTTAAATTTTACTACATTCAAAGATGTATATGTGTTACTGGCAAAGTTTGAAATAGCCTATGCATAATATAAAGCCTAAAACTAGCTGGCAATGTATGAAACAATTCATATTTCACATATTTCCTAGGCACTCTGTAGAATGCTAAATGAGAAACCGGCAAAGTATGAAATGCACGTCCGATTCGTTTCAAATATCATATGTATTTCAATTCATTTAATAATACACACATTCCGTTTCAAATACATTTTGTGTATTTGAAGTCCTTAGTGTGTTTAAAGGAAATAAATGAATGATGCATTTGCATGCAAAAAATTCATACCATCAGTGGTAAAGATGCCGAAATAGATATTTTGTATAATCTGTTTAAAACTGAAAATGCTATTGAAGGTAAAATAAATTCTAAAAATCAATCTGGAAGTACAAGTAAAAAAAATGAAAATGAATTCGAAAAAGCAGTTTCTCAGTTCTTCTTTGGAAACAACTGTGCAAGTTCCTACTCCTTAGTTGACAATGCGTGAGGTTATTCACAAATACTGGGCACTTCATACTTTGCTGGTAACAAACAGTGTCTCAGTGTTTGCATGCTTAAAGAATTTGCAAAAAAAGCACTGTAACCTGGAATGGAATTCAAATATAAAGACCAAACGTTTTTCATATCATCTCCATGTGACTTTGAATAAAAACCAATTTTTTTCATTTTTACTACTGACTTACTTTCTTTTTCTAAAATTGAAAATGTACGGAGGCTTAGATAAAAAAACGCCACAAAAGTGATCGTACACCAAAACATTTTCATATAATTCAATAAAAAAAATTACCATCAAGCACTTTTTTTTTTATTTTTGGATTTTCGTGACATTTAAAAAATTGTTTGCCTTTAATTTTTGCTTGCTTACATCGTTATATTTTATTTAATGTGAGAAAGGAATCAACGAATTTTTATCAGTTTTAATTGAAAATTCATTAATTTTTATCATAAGGATGGAAATTCAATTCGGGATATCGTTAAATTAGTAAATTTACCCCCTTCTATGGGGGGGGGAAATTAATAATAGTATGCGATAAAATGCTCTAAAAATGAAAATTGGATTCAAAATAGAGGGGTTGTCCTCTATTTTGAGGAAGTTGTCCTCTATTTACAAAGAGGTTGTCCGGTAAAGAGGATTCGACGTAACTCAACATGATTAGACATTTATACAGTCAAAAGTCGTTAATTCGGACACCCATAATTCGGAATGATCTATAATCCGGACCTCAAAACTTAAAACTTTCTGCGCATGCGCCGCTTT